GAAAAAGTCGACGTCGTTGTTAAAATCAAACGAGAACAGGGAAAAACTAAAAATCTGTAAGGCAAAAAATTGCTTATGTTTCAGATTAAAGTGACAATTCTTTGAAATAATGTGTCATTGCTTTCATTGCCTTCTGTGTAACTTTTTTTTTTTTTTGAAAACGCGAAAATCTGAGTCGGTCGGACGACGCTAAACAGAGAAAAAAAGGGGATGGCCTTATATCATTTCTCGCTCCAAATCATTGTTTGCCTTTAACAGCTACATAAGAGATCCAGAATACACGTACTTGTGGCATATTTTCTTTCGCAGGTTTTGAAAAATCACTCGTTCAAGTAACAATTCAGTGTAATTCTACAGAAAAAATAAGGGAAAGTTTTATTAAGTTTTTTTAATATTTGCTCCAATTATCTTATGTATACGCAATCAAGAACCACCTTCATACTGGATCATGCCGAAAAAAGAATACTGTCTTCCAGCAAGTTAAATAAACGCTTTTATTGTCCAACTGCAGCGCATACCGTCCAAATAACAGTACAAATATACAGCGATATTGTATAGTTATTTGTACAGTAGAAACCCCGATTGTCGTACAGGTTGGTTCGCGCACGCAAACCTGTCACACTCTCCCTCTTTTCATTGATAAATCTATTGAATACGGCAGTTGGATAATACATCTCTTACCAGATGTTTTGGTGTGTAGTATCGCTTTATATTTTTACTCGTTGTTTGTATTTGACGAGCCCGCAGGGCGAGTCAAAATACGGTACAACTAGTAAAAATATGCAGCGATACTACACACCAAAACATCTAATAACATATTTCTCTTGGAATAATTTCAGTTTTTTTAAAAAATTCAAACAGTAAAGAACTAGTGTAACAATTTTATCCTACACAAGTGCTAGTGATGAGTGAAAACGATAAAGAAAAACGCGGATTTGCGGAAAAAATAATTTTAAACAATAATAGATAGCTTGTTTTATTGAAACGTCTTCGTTTGAAAACTATCTAACCTATTATTACAAGAGATAATCTACTTTCACAATCTGCGTTGAGATCCTGACGATATCTCCCAGAATTGAATGACGTCTGCCAAACCTGAAACAGACAAAAGTTATCGATCAGTTTTCATTGAATAAGAGGGATATTGCAAGGAAGACTGGCCAAAACGTTGGGTTACAGTAAGACGCCTTTGGACGACTAGTTTCTTCTTTAGGTTGCTAGCGTCTAGTACTTTCCTCAACTTTGCACCCCTTCTTTCATTGTTTCTCAGTTAATACTAAATCAATCAGTATGAAATGCTACAGTAGAGGACGTATGGATCCATCAAAGTACAAGTGTTCAACACTGCTGAAATCATTGTCAGTCATGTTACAAAATATAATGCGATAAAGTATGAAAAGAAAAGGTTTATTCAGTGCGACTAGAAACTGCTATGTTTCAATACCAACAACTGAAGGAGGTGAAAATAGCGAGGTGCGCCAAAATTTCAACGTTACTCGCGGCTAAGAACGCGTATTCGGTAACAGAAACCTTTCCCTTCTGAATGTCGACAAACCAGCTCAGAACAAAGTATCTGTATTCTTTCCTTCCTATCCTTTCCAGACTAAAATAGTCAAAAGCCCTGCCTCGTACCAAGGTATTGGTAATAGATTAACTGATGATTCCTGAAAGTATAGCTATCTAACTTGTTACTGCAAGTCACATGAATGGATCCGTCCGTAACTTTCACACATCATCAATGTATGATAAGACGCTTTAAGAGGATCAGCAATTCACCCATGACTGCACTCTTCTTGGATGGAATCAAACCTATAACAAAACAAAGCATTTCGTAACAATACTTATTATATGGCTAGCTCCGTGAGCGGGCAAGATGAATCAAATCCTGCCCTGTGATTGGCTACCCGAGCGGGCAAGATGGAGCTATCTTGCCCGCTCGGGACTACCCGCCATGTCCCGCAAGAAAAATTTTCCCGAAAGCCATATAATAAATCCTTTATTGACCAAGCTTGTTCGGCCAAGATGGCTGGATATTGGCCTCGTTCTTTTTTTGCGAGTTTATGGACCTCGACTCCGTCTCGGTCCATAAACGCGCAAAAAAAGAACTCAATATCCAGCCATCTTGACCTCACACTTGGTCAATAACCCATATTTATTAATGAAATTATACTTCGTGAATAGGTAACAAAACTATAGGGCCTCCACCCTGAGAGAATACTGAATATTCAAGAGTTCAAACCGAGACTGAAAATGCCACGAACTCAGTATATAAAAAGACCATCGACCAATACTCTCCCAGTACTGTCTGGAGCAAGCCTGGTTAAGAAGAGATTTATTACGGGAATGAAAATGATTTGCCAAATTCCCGCGAGACGTAAACTTCAAGCGCGCCATTCTGAATAAAACATTTTCAAAACAAGAAGGAAAAGATGGTTGGAAGAATCAGTTACGTGTAAGTTAATTCTTTAACAAAAGACAGCCACAAAACTACAAAAAAAAAAAAAACCCTTTTGAGAGTGGTTGCACGGGTTCTTTCGGGTCGGGGTCGGTCCAATGATGTACTTGAAAAATAATGAACAAGCAAATCTGATTCGTTGGTTTTGTGGATCAGGTTAGTTGTAATAAGGGTATGCATCGCTCCAAAAGGTACTGAGGAGCCACCTGCATCATTTACAGGGTTTTTTTTTTTATCATTGGCGAAACAAAAGAATAGATAAAGAGATGCAGATTAACAAGAACGAATGAAAACAATTTTAAAGTGGTGTATGACGGTTCCCGATTTTACATCGATTTTGATCTTATATGTTCAACCAAAAAGGGAAAAGGGGAAAGACTGGCCCACTATCCTAGATCTACCAGTGACTATCATATAAATCCTGCACCAATCGATATTATTCTCTATTACTGCTACAGTACAAAGAATATTTACAAAATTACTTTAAATATTCATATTTAACAAATTACTTTAAATATTCATTTTTTAATCGCTACATAACTGAATGCAATGATATTCCATCGAACATTATGCATGCACCTTCATTAAGCAGCTTTAAATCCTATCTATAGACCTTTCCCGCATTCCAGCAAACAATGGCACCGAGTCGAGGTCAGGGTGGACAAAAATACAGCAAATGTATGAAAATGTCCACTCCAACCTCGCTCTGGTGCTTTTGTTCGTACGCACTGACGTGGAATGCGGGAAAGGTCTATTAGATCATTTGTGTCAATTTTGAATCAGGTGTAACTCGTGAGTGACATGTATGCAATTTAATTATGTTAACTTTGGGCCGTATTTAAATCTTATTTCATAATTTTTTAGTGTCAATTTTACTATGCAATTTAATTAGGCTAGTTTTGTCAATATTAGTGTGCAATTTAATTAGGCTAGTTTTGGGCCGCACTTAAATTTTAAATTTTATTTCTTAATTTTTTAGAATGTTTAATATCGGAGAATATTCTTTATATGGGAATTTAGTTTCCCCCAATTATTCTCCAGTCATGTACTTTTTGTAATTTCTGTGATTTATTTACTTATACTATGTAGCATGACAAAGTATTATTAAACTTAACTTAAAACAACAGTTAGCCACAGAACACACACTCGCACGCTGTCACTAAACCGATTTTTAAATTCAGTTATTGATCAGAAAATGTCGTCGCCGTCATTGCCGTCCTAGTTCCCTTAAACTACCCTGTTTCATGTAAACATGGTTACACCAATACTAAAAATAACCATGCAGTACTGGAAAAAAGACTGACGGCAGTGGCGGGGTACACTGCCGAGTCACGCTAGTTGATAGACCGGTGGTATATCCTCCGCTTAACAACTAGCGTGACTACACATTCTGAAGAAGCACAGACTATTTATTTGTTGTAAAACACAACCTCCGCTAACTTGTGGGAGATACAGCTACTACTCTGTGCTCGTGTATAAGCAGTAAACCACTCGTCCATAACAAGTCTATAATCTAAGAACGTCTCCAGTCCGTTAAATTCCTTAAATACGTTTCAATAACGTCTCCGAGAACGAAAGAATTGTAATTGTTGGATACGCACGCGCGTATAAAACAATGGTTTGATATATGGCAACTGATTAAACTCGGCTGTCTGCGATAGGTCGCTGCAACCTTGAATTTACATCAAAATGGCTTCAGTAACTCGCCTCGTGTTTTCTCCAATGGTTTTAATTTAAATTTACAGTAACAGCAAGCTACTCTACACGATCGACTTTTCAAAGAACAACTGAGAAGTTTACCTTAATTCAGACATTCAGTTCGGGCAGAGATAAAAAGTGAAAGAAAACAAAATATAGACACTGCTTAACAGAACGTCTCAAAGGGGTAAAATTTGCATTTCTCACAGACAGTTACATGGCGTGACAAAACTGAAACACTTCCGTCTATTCCTCTGTCTCGAACATTGAGAATTTTAATGTGAAGTATATATGAAATAATTCATATTGGAAAATTTACTGCGATGATCATTCTTCACTTTCATTGAGAATTTTACTTGCCCTGCATCTTCTACATTGTACTAGACTACAACTCACTATTTTGGAAATACTAATACTACCCAATCGAATATCATAACGAACTTTCGTTCTTTATCATTTTTCTAATTAAAAAGGAAAAAAAACCCAGTCAATCTTATTGACACGTAGGTTAACAAGTAGTGGCAGTTGGTGGGACGATGTGGACCCACATGTGCAATATCAAGATAGAGCCCCAGCAATTTAGAGCAAAAAGGGTTGAACAAAATCGACAAAAGCTTGACCTCCTTGTCTCCATGTGTAACTTGGGGTACTTACCATTTACATGGGAAAACCGGAAATTCCAGTTGGAAAATCAAATGGTTCGCCCCATACCGTTTGGGAAGCTTCAGAAAATATGGGCTGTGATTTGAGTTGATGCTATTTTTCTGCTCTTTMAAGTCTCTCTAACYGATGTGGATATACTTTATAGTGATTCCCTCTCTCGCAACGTCGAATTTAATTGTTTAATGTTTATGCCTGAAATTTCCAACCGGATGGTTTTTGTAAATGGTAAGCACCCTTGGTTAAACATAAGGGAACAAACGCAAAACAGCATGCCAAGTGCAAACTGAGTGCAAACAGAAATGCAGTATTAATTGTAAAAGAACCTGAACATTCTTAGTGAATATCATCAACATGTAAATGAACATGTAAAACTAATGCTTGGAAATATTCCCTGGGGTTGGCTAGTAAAGAAAATTTCTAAATTTTTCTCTTTTCTGTCTTTGTATTAATACTTTGGTTAGCCTTGACATTTATACAAAGAAAACAGTTTCCAGACTACATGAACTTACAAATGCTAAACGGTTATTCACTTGAAAACTTCAACAAAGACAGTCTACTCACATTGATAGAGGATGGACTAGCTGTCCACAATCCTTCCCACATCATCACATTCCACTTGGAATTCTTCCTAGGAAGTCATGCTGCAAAAGTTTTAAAAATTAAAATTTTGTCATTTTTGAAGTACATGTAAGCAGGGAAACAAAATAAATACTCAGGGATAGAGTAGTCTGACAATCTACAATAGAGTATTTAAATTCGATATATTTGGCACAACACAATAGTTTTCAGATACATTTACATATATTCAGACTTGTACTTACCTTTTGTTGTTTTTCTAGTTTTTCATGGCCAGTAAAGCCCTGGGTGAAAACCTCCTATGATAGCTAACCTTGTATTAACGACAGAGGAAAACCCAGGAGCAGGCTATATTATGCCTCAACCAGGCAACACAGTATTACAAGGCCAAGCTTTCCTATGATCTCAAAATCAGCAGATGTAGTTGCACATCAAAGTACTCACAAGACCTATAGGAACACAGCAGTCAGCTCCAGCTCTCTGAAGTGATTCCCATGTTGTGTCAGCCAGCACCTTGGATAAACTCATGGGTTTAGCAACTGGTTTGAACATCTTTTAGAAAGCTACATCTACACTAATTTAGACACGTACTTACCTTTTGTTGTTTAACAATTTTTTTTTCCATGCCCAGTGAGGGCATGGGGTCAAACCCTCTAGAAAAACTACTGCTCGCAATGGAGAAAAACCCAGGGGCAGGCTATAATAATTATGCCCCACCCAAGCAACACATCCTTTAAAGGTCAAGCTTTCCTTCAATCTCAAAATCCATAGATGTAGTTACAGATCAAAGTACTCAAAGGAACACAGCAGTTTGCTCCAGCTCTCTGAAGTGATTCCCATGTTGTGTTAGTCAGCACCTCAGATAACCTCATGGGTGCAGCTGTTGGTTTGAACATGGCCTTTTTCAAGCAGCCATGACCTCAGTAACCCCACAAGTCTGACTGGTGCTCCAAGAAACGAAACATGATGTGTTCTAAGTTTGCATGTAAATAAACAAAGATACATCTAATTATATTTAGACCTGTACCGACCTTTTCTTGTGTTACTAGTTTTTCATGGCCAGTACTGAAACCCATGGGTTAAAAACTCCTACAATAACCTGTTGTCGCAACAGAAGAAAACCCAGCAGCCGGTTATGATATGCATCAACCAAGCAACATGCCATTTAAAGGTCAAGTTTTCCTTTGATTGCAAAATCCAGGACTAGTATTGCTAAGATGTAGTCGCACATCAAAGTACTCACAAGACCCAGTATAGGAACACAGCAGTCTGCAGCACCTCAGATAGCTTCATGGTTGCAATGGCTTGTTTGAACATTGTTTTTGCAAGCCATTATCACCTTAGATAACTTCACAGCTTTGCTCTTTAATTAGTATTAGCATATGGTCCTCATTTCCAATTTCATTCTCAATTACTACTGTAATTGTTAACTCACTCTACTGTCTTATGTCAACCATGTTTTGCTATTTAATTTCTACATTATGTGTTACATATAATATTTTGGTTTAATTTTGTTTATCCACTCAAATTTCTTTAATTTCTTTAAATTTATTCTCTGTTTTAACTAAACCACATGTATATAATACTGTTGAAGTAATAGTATTTTTCAAGGCCAGTAAATACATGGGGAAAAAACCTCCCATGGTAATATAACTACTGCTTGCAATGGGGTCTCAGTTTTCATGAAACCCATTGCTATTATGGCGTGGAGTCTTAAAAAAGGATCATTGCCTTCTAGTCCAAATATCATTTAGATGTTAAGCTAATATCTTATCTGTAATTACGTAAGTGCTTCATATTCTAGTTTAAAAAATTGGAAATGAGAAATAACCCATTCTCTTAAATATCTATTTACCTTTAGGTAGTTTGGTGTTTCTATTAATTATTACCAGCAAGCGCCTATATCTAAATAAAAAGAAAGAAATTGTGAGGTTTTAAGTAAGATCCAGTATCATGCAGTGCTAATATTACAGTGGAACCCCGTTAATACGACCACTTTCGGCCATGGAAAATTGGTTTTATTAACGAGGTCATCATATTAAAGGGGTTCTTTAAATAAGAAAATGACTGATTGAGCCTTTTTTTGGGCCAGAATAAAGTAGCCGTAATAACGAGGTGGTCGTATTAACGGGGTGGTCATAAGGCAGGGTTCCGCTGTATATTATAGTTCCCTGGAGACGGTTCCAGAGTCAATTTAAACTGCATGGCATTACAAACTGGTCAAATACTTAATTAGGTGTACATGTATTTTGCAATAAGCCTTCTTTTTGTGCCTGAAATTTGGTAGCTCATATCAAATTTAAACTTGCTCAAAATTATACATGTACATGTAGTTGTTGAGAGTTTTCTTTCATTTGACTTGTAGCCTGCAGAACAGGCAGATTAGCAGGGCAGCAAGCGAAACGCGATACATGAGTGCAGAGTGCAACCATGAGCACGAAGCATGTGAGGAAAAAACATCTGACTGTAGTCACACCATTGTTTATGCTCTACCACCCCTTTAAAATGATTGGCATGAAAGAATGAGAATTTATTGGCGCGAAAAAATGTCTCACGTAACCAACTTACACATGAAAAACATAGGTGTTTTTTGATTTTATGACGTCAACATGAGCACAAAAAGCAAAACTGAGAGTGAATTTTCTCGTGTTTCCTTAGGTGAATATTTTTAAAATTAGGTTCAGTTGTAACCACATACAATTCCTATAAAAGACCCTATTTTTGTTAAAATCTGTCACACCTAATCTAATGTATTTAGAAGAAACAAGAAGATCTGTTAGATCTTATAACCGTGCTTTTAAAATTTAACTGTTCGCTTAGCACTACCGTCGGAACACAGTG